AATGATAAATAAAATACTTAGAGAATTTGTTTTTGTGTTGATTTGTGGTTATACTTAAACTGCTTTGTTTATAATGGTGATGTTTGCATATTCAGTTGTTGATCTTGAGTTTTACCCGTGCCATTAGTTGTCTCATTGCGTAGTAGTGAAGAAAGTAACCTAAGTATACTAGAAAGCAAATGTGGCTAGGATGGTTGCCCTAAGACGTCCTTCATGAATTTGGACCCCTTAGTTTCCCTGTAATGTGTTGTCTCTGTGAGCTTATGCATTGCGTGTGTGTGTGCTGGTGTGCACGTGTGGGTGTGCTGTACTATCTTGGGTCTTCCTCTGAAATTAGAAAAATCACAATTCAGAGAATGTTAGTTGCAACTTTATAGTGGCTGTAGGCACTTAACAAAATGCTGATCAGTATTTCAAGCGAGAACTCATCTGTGCGGCTGGCTACTTTTCTTTTAGTAGTTTTGGCAACCTATAGTTCATTATTGTTCCACAAACCAGTGTTTTGTTCTTCAATAATAGTTCAGCTGTAGACACACTGTTGTAGTAATTATCTTGGTAAATATGATGCCAAGAACCAGGAAAAGGCCGAAAGACGGATAACATAGTCTGTTGTAACTTTCTGCCTTAACCCATATATATCTCAAAGTTGCAAAAACTTTCACAAAGCATCCTAACTAAAATTCCACATTTTATTATTTTTGCTGGATTATACATCTTGAATCTGATGGAGTCATTGCTTCAAGTGATAACTATTGTGTTGGTATATATAAAGATTTAAATTTCAAGATAAAGTGATCCAAAAGAGGTCTGACTTTGTAAAGATGGTCTGTGTTATGTGTTGTTTGTGAATTATCAGTCAGATGAAGGAATGTAAGTATTTGCTCGAACCTCTTTCCAGTCATATTTTTTGGAAATAATGGGTGATTCAAGTATAGGATCAGTTAACCAGTGATCTTTCCATTCTGGCCTTTTCCTTAGTCTCATCAATATATTTAAACCAAAAAACTTCTTTATATCCATATAAGTAACATCCGTGCATGGTGAAGTTTTAGCAGAGGTTGTGTGGTATTTTTCCATTTGGTGATGGTATAAATTGGTCTGAGAAGTAATGAGATCGAGAAAATCCGTATCAAAAAATTGGTTACTTCATTTATACTTTGTGGGTCTTCAAATTGAACAGTTATGCCTGAAATATTTGTATGATCCTCCAAGGCTGGTAAAATGTCTTTCTGCCCATTCTTCAGAATCACTTTCACTGTCGGATACTATCATTTCTCTTTTGCCTTCGTGATGGTCTAATGTCAGACGCATTACTATCTCCTGACAAAGTACTTATCTTCCAGCCGACTACCAAAGTCACTCAGCCAATCAAAGTGTCTGCACATAATTTACTCAGACGTTTGGCACTTTTTAAAAAACCTTTGCCATAATAAAATATGGATGGAAAGAATGAGATGTATTGCTCATCATGTCTCTGGAAATACTGACTGACGAGTTGAGAAAAAGACAGGAGCAATGTTCGGACCGGAAACAAGTACACTCGTGGGCAGTCAGCAAGGTGTTAAATTTTTTCTCATAATGACTAGTGAGAATTCCTGTTGGTACAGCTATAAGGCCAGAAGAGGGAGTATTGATGCTCTTTTACTTAAATAGTATCAGATGCAGCCTTTTTTATAATGTTACCAATGATGGAAACTACTTTTTAAACATTTAGCTTCCTTTCTAAACAAGTAGAAGTCTTTAAAAGGTCTTTTGTGGGGAGAGGACCTTTTGTTTTATAATAAGTAAAAGAAGTTGGGGCTGTGACCTGTTCTGAGTCTAAAGTTAGTAGAGCCGAACTGTATTGACATCAAGGCCCCACTGGACAATTCACTTAGGCGGGTTTGTTTAGATGAGTTACAGCTGCATGTCTGCTGATTAGGCTTCCAGGCTCCTCTGCAAGCCCACCCTTTCTGTCGGACCCTTTTCCAGACCTACTGTTGTTCTCCAAGTTTTGCCTTGGCAGTCAGCATCTGGGGCACTGGGTGAGAGAAGTCTGCTGTCAGCTTGTGAGCCTGCCCTTAAGTTTCCATTCTCAGGGCCTTACACCCTCTACACCCCACCCCATCCCCCATGTGTTTTATCACCCGTGTCAAAGCTGACCAACTTACTAATGAGTAGAAGTCATCCATGTTCCCAGTGGCTACTGTATTTTTAACCCTTTGAGTGCCAACCAATATCCTAGGAACTATGTTAAAATTGCCAAGGCATTTTTGCTGATTTTACAGCAGTTTAGGAAAAAAATTATGAATCGCAAGTAAATGAAGTTACATATTCAAAAACTTAAGGAAACCTTTACTACATTTGTTTTCTCCACTTAGGTGCCATCTGTCAATAAAGAGTGAACTACTAGCATCTAATAGTGACACTGCAGGAGGATCGAGATAGCGCTCCCGGCACTTTTGGCGAAAGAGAAAGACAGGAGGAGCGCGATCGCACTCCCCGGCACTCTAGGGGTTAAACAAGAATACCGTTACTTTCAATACAGGTGGATGAGGGTGGGTAGAGACAGTGGCTAAAAAAAAACACTACAATCCCATTAGTTGTCCATAGTGGCTACGAGGAGGAAGTTGGCATCTGTATGTGTGGGATGTTTTTGTCAAGGATTACCTGTGTTTTTTTTTTTTTACCATTTTGATCGTGGATTTATAATTTTACAAGGCTGACACATATTGGACACTTTGGGAGGTATGTTTCTCATGTGGCCAAAAACAGAAAATTAGGACTAAAAACTTGCCTTTTCTTTCCCTTAAAGTAAAACATGTAATTTTGGCTTATAATAAATCTTTGCCAAAAGCTGTAATCAGAGTTAGTAATTCTGCAGCTTCCAAAAAGGACTTCACAGGAAAATTAAAATTCAAAGACATTAAAAGGCACTGGAAACATCTCTAGAGACAGGAAGGAGGCTAAGGCCATCCATGCCTCCACGGTTGGTAAGGCTCCTGAGGATTCCATACAGTGTTTTGCTTTTAGCCAAGTATATAGTATGTTCTTATGAAAATAAAAGTTTTTTCATGTTATTTTTTAAACTTTGAAGAATTGGAAGGTTGATTTTAAATAGTGTGTTTAAAATGCTTTTCATAAGGGGTCTCTAGAGTATTAATGGTATTAACAGTCTCTTCATATAACACTTTTAACGTTAGCTGGGAGAGTAATGCAGATTTGAGAGGGAGTGAGTGATATGGGGGTGTTTCAAGTTGGTTAATGTAATGGTTGCCAATAATTGTGAGGATCTTCTGGATACCTTCCCCAATACTCTTCTGACATGGACTGGAACTCCTTGTTCAATGTGTTCCCAGTTAGGCACATCCCACCAAGGGATTTGTATATTGAAGATATATTAAAGCTACATGCCTGAGCCCTGGAAACTGTGTCTATAATTTGGGTCTTTTAAAATACAAAGTAGCTGCCTGCCTACTCCTGGTCTGAAGAATGTACTGATCTGTTTATAGTGACTTGAAAAGTAGAACAGCAGTGGGAGTGGTAACATAAATTCATATTAACCTGAAAACTACCCCCAAAGCACAACTAATTTAAGCTGATGTATTTTCTAGCAAAATGAGAGTAAATACATGGCTTTAAGCTGCTTGATTTTGGGCCCAGTCAAATCTGAAGTTCTAGGGCCTGGGGCTAGACCAGTGATTCCCAAAGTGGGCGCTACCGCCCCCTGGTGGGCGCTGCAGCGATCCAGGGGGGCGGTGATGGCCACAGGTGCATTTAACTTTTTTTGTATTACCTTTCTATTCTGAGTTCAATAAATAGTTTCATAATTTCAAACTTCAATGTTTCTAATTTACACCTTTCTTTACTATATTTTATGAAAAAGGTAGAAACATTAATACATATATCTTTCTGTTTAATTGCTATTAAAATTTAAAAAAATTAATTTCCAGGGGGCTCTGAGTAATATTTTTTCTGGAAAGGGGGCGGTAGGCCAAATAAGATTGGGAACCACTGGGCTAGACTATCAGGAGTGGATTTTTTCCTGGCCAAGAAACATTATGTCCCCCATCCCTCTCCCTTGATGCACCTTCCCTGAACAAAAAGGCTCAAAGCTTTCCAAGGTTATCTACTCCAGCCTCCATCACACCTTCAAAGTAGTGTTCAAGCCAATTTGCTGTGGAGGAAGGTAGCTGTTTAGTATGAAAGTCTAGCCCAGGGGTGGGCAAACTTTTTGACTCGAGGGCCACAATGGGTTCTTAAACTGGACCGGAGGGCCGGAACAAAAGCATGGATGGAGTGTTTGTGTGAACTAATATAAATTCAAAGTAAACATCATTACATAAAAGGGTACGGTCTTTTTTTTTTTTTTTTTTTAGTTTTATTCATTTCAAATGGGCCGGATCCGGCCCGCGGGCTGTAGTTTGCCCACGGCTGGTCTAGCCTCTAATAACCTAGCTAAACGGAGAGTTCATGCATTTTGTGTTTCAGGTGCATTTCATCTTTATTTCCATTTTTGCCTCCTGTCTTGATAGCTACATGTCATGCTATGGCATTGAACTTGGTGGATTTAAAAATGAGGGTGGGAGGTAAAGTAGTGGTTAAGAACCTTTGATTAAGGATCAGGGTTAATCTCATGTATGGGTAACTGGTGGGGTTCCAGAAACAGACTGGGGTCTTCCAGTGAGAATGGGAACATAGGGAGGTCTTGCTCCTTGTCTCCAACCCCCTACTCTGTACGTAATGTTTATTCTGGTTTGAGGACTGCCTAAAGCCAGACAGCCCAGAGTGGAACCTTCTTGAACACAGATGATTACATTAACCTTCCGGAGTGCAGAGGACTTCATCTTCCGTTTAGTTTGAAAGGCAACAGGTGGAATGAGCTTTCCACTAGTTAGGGACCCTGACACGGAGTGATTCAGGGTCCATTCTGCTCCCTCTCGATCTTAGTATCACCGTGTTGTTAAAGAACTGGAAAGGGGGAGGTGCATAGACAAAAAGCCAAGTAGCAAAGTTATAGGTAAGAGTAATGAATTCATATACTGTTACTGTATAAATACACAAGTCAATTTCTTTTAACAGCACCATTTCCAAGTGTATACACAACATGATTTATAGCGGCACATTTTTTTAAAGGTGGGAAATGTTAGTTGCTACTGAAGTAATAAAAGACCTGGTACATAAGAGAATAAGGAGCTGTGCTCTACCTGCTACAGACGGTGCGTTTTTACACCTCCCGCTAGGACAGAAACAAGCCACACGGAGGGAATGCCCACACAAAGTAATACCGGAAAGTTTACTAAACCTTCCCTTCTCCAAACGGACTCTACCAGGGGCTCGCTTCACCTGGAATTAGAGTAACTGAGTAAGGACAACTAAATACTGTTTCAAACAATAAAAGTCATTTTGCCGACATTCCATAAAATCGCCAGTTTTAAGTTCAATAAAGAGGCTTTTAAAAAAATATTCTAGACCTAGTAAAGTGCCTCCATTAATACAATTAAACACCCAAGATTAGACTGAGACAATTTCATACCGATGCGCATCTAAAATAGGTCGAAGTATAGAGTAAATAAATAGCGCCTCTAAGTTGCCACGTTTCCGTTAGTGGGATACACACAGCCTTCACCGTCCGGATGTGCACAGACTAGAAACTAGAGATAAATCAAGATTTTAGCGTCTTGTCTCAACCACAGAACTCCGAATGGCCGGCTTGCTTTGAAAAAAAAACAACCAAAACACCAAGACGACATCCCAAGGAGAACCGAGGACTGAGCTCCACGCCCTCCCCCAACAGGAAGAGACGGTGCGCAGACCCAAAAAGGAGAGTGGGCGGGCCGCGACCCCGGCGGGGGCGGGCCGGGCTCAGCGCAGCTTCTTGCCGGGCAGGCCGTCCCTGGGGCAGCGCGGGGCCGGCCGGGCGGCGGGCGGCGGCACTTTGGAGAGCGGGCAGTACTTGATGGTGTGCGCGTTGTCGCCGCTGGCACCGCACAGGGGACACGTGTAGCGGCGCAGCACCGGGCACAGCACTCGCCCGTCGGGTCCCTTCAGGATGTGGGTGGTGTAGAGCGCCACCGCCTCCTTGTTGTTCCGGCAAAACACGCACACCTGCAGCTCGGGCTTGAGCAGCCGGGCGGCGGCCGCCCCGGAGGCCGCGTGCAGCCGGGGTTCGGC